TTTTTTATTTTTTACTTTTTTTAGCGGGTATCATAATGTTTTCAGTAACGTTGAAACTTTCACTATCATTGTCATCATCTTCCAGATCTTGANTTTTTTGTATGGTCGAAGAAATAGAACCAGGTATTAGACCAAGATAATGAGTTTATTGAGCTCATATCGAATAAAAAAATTAATTCACTAAACAAATCCTATTGTGTTGTTGACATAAATCTGACTTGATCCAAATATATATTCTAACAGATGTGTGATCAATTTCACTCAAGTCTTTATAATAGGATGTTCCTTCGGAAAAATTTACTGATATAAAAGATATTTTTCGATATCTCCTGCTTGGAAAGATCAAAAACCTCAATTGAGCTGCAAAATGACCCAAATCTGATTGAAAAGTTTGCTGAAAATTAACACTTATATATTTCGATGATGAAAAGATTTCTATGCCGATGAAGGAACTGTGCACCGGTGGGTATTCAATTAGGTTGTTGCAGCGCTACCGCCTAGATAGATGCTTCTACGTATTTTACCAAAATCTCAACTCCCAACTCTGTAAAGATGAATAATCTTCCAGTTCTCCAAATTTGGCATAGCCCACCCTTCACAAAGAAGTATATTAGTTGAAGAGTATGACTTACCAACTAAAAGTGTGAACTGAAACCCTTAGGACACCAATTCAAAAATTGCGAAGTCATATATGATGAAATTGGCCAATATTTGCTGAAAATCTATAACTGACGGATTAAAAAAACACGTTATTTTGAGATTTTCACTTAACAGTTTCATAAAAACGCAACACGTGTTTCGTCATACAATGGCTTCCAAAAGACACGTCCGAAAAAGCCACTGTATGGCGAAACACGTGTTGCGTTTTTGTAAAACTGTTTAGTATTTCAGTAAAAGAAACGCCCGAAGGAAGTATTGCATACCGAAACACGTGTTGCGAGTTTGTAAAACTGTTTAGTGAAAATCTCACAAAGTGTTTTATGAATACGTTAATTACGAATTGAATAATGAGTGAATAGTGAAATTCAATAAAATAATGCAACAGATGGACTCAAAGAATCTCTTACAGTTTGGTAAGTAGTGAGAAAATAACTTCAAGTGAGTAATAAAAAAAAACTACTTACCAAACGGCTAACGTCCCTGATTCCGAAAGCCTTGTATTAAGAATTCCTGGAACTGATGAAATATCCTACATCTATACTCCTGTACCGATTACGAATACGATACCAACCCACATTTGGTCATGACTTTGAAGTCAGGTCTACAATTGAAGAATTTTCTACTCAATTCAAAATAAATGAAATAAGCTTGATGCAGGAGCATCGAAACTATGATATTCGCGATAAATCCATGATTCAAGTAACCAATACTTGGATGACCTAACTATCGATAGATAACCCTGCTACAAATTTTAGTGAATTTTATTCAGGAAATATACAGCGTGACTCACGGTCGATAATAGGTTAGACGTTTCTGGAAAACGCAATTTTTTCTGAAAATTCCACTTCTCACATTTCCTTACCTGTTCTATCGATATTTTCAGCATTGCGGCGTTGCCACTTCCATCAAAAAGTCTTAGCAACTTTATTTTTTTAAATGGAACACTCCGTATATTAATACATTTTTGGAATCGCTCTGGTATTTTGATACTTTTTTGTTGATAATGTCCTATACCTATCTCTATCTGTTTTCGAGATAAAAAATAAATTATGCTAAATATGGTTCAAAACATAGCCTTAATTGAAATTAAGTACATTAGTACTCTCAATTCATGAAAAGTTGATATTATGATGATAGTTTGGAAAAACTCGAAATATTCAAATAACACCAAGAAATCGACTCCATATCATACAGTGCGTGCTAAAATTACTATTATTTCCATTGTGCATAAAAGAAGTCAAAAGTTCGTTTTTTCAAATGAAAACCCCTGTATATCACCCGGTAAATTGAAAGATGGTGAAAAATGCTTCAAGATGATATATCATATTCCTATACCTAAATCGTCAAGTTTTCTCAATAAAGTCGCTTCTTCTAGAAACATTATTTTTTTTTAGAATTTGGACTTAGGTAGCAGTGGAATTATCGAGCTCATAGCAGTTCGGTTACTTTTATAAGTAATTTACAAAGAGTTATCGACGGTGTTTCGAATCATCTTCCAAAATGAATGCAAATATAGATTATTCAAACGAAGTTCTTATGAAATTATTTATTATA